TATATTCAGACACGAGTTTTATGTTTATTGAATTATTCACGTTGTCTTCCTTCCATCCATCCATCCATCCATCCATCCATCCATCGTGACTTCCTACCCTTCCTCCCTGTCGACGTGGCTGTCACCTTGACGCGGTGGCGGGGCTTAAACGCAAAACTCTCCTCGGAGAGTCGCGTGAACCAAGAACAGCCACTCTCGTTACATCATTCACCCTTTACTCAGTGCTACCAATTGTGATTCCACGTGGGTTTCTTTTCAATAGCAAATTGATAATTACAAGTGTAAATTACAAGTCTCGCACACGAGTATTCTCTGCTTCGCACATAGTCATTGCATCATTTTCAGCCAACTGTGACTCCACGTGGGTTCTAACGTCATTTATAACATGTCATAGGTACATTCTCTGTTTGACAGAAAAGTTAAATACATAAATGTTGTCTCCTGAATATAAATTATAACACGTGAATATTCTCTGCTTTACATAATAAAAAACACACGATTATTCTGTGCTTAACAAAAAAGTTGAAATACATGAATGTTCTTTCCTTAAGAAAAATTATAACGCATGAATATTCTCTGCTTTACACAAAAGGTGAAATACATGAATGTTGTTTCCTTTAGAGAAATTATCACACGCGAATATTGTCTGCTCGACAGAATAATAAATACACACGAATATTCTGTGCTCAACAGAAAAGTTAAAAAACACGAATGTTCTTTCCTCGATAGAAATTATAATACATTAATGTTCTTTCCTTTATCGAAATTATAAGACATGAATGTTCTTTCCTTTAAATGTTGTTTCCTTTAGAGAAATTATAACACATGAATATTGTCTGCTTTACAGAATATAGTTGACACACAAATAGCGTTGCTCTTTAATTACTAAAATTTATTATCTTTTATTTTGTTTCACAGCTAAATCAAGCTAACATCGTTTCATATAAAATCTTCTCTATTGAACATTATACCTAATTTCTCGTCTTTCCAACCGGATGAATATTAACACGCTGGCTGAGTCATATTGTAAAAATATATATGCGATTTTGCGTCGAAATAAGCCGTAAACTTAGCAAATCGACCCCTTTTTTGCCTTCTTTTCGATAATGCTCGAGCATCTCGCGTGGCGAAGCGTTGCAAACGTGCAAATAGGTGTACAATTGTGTAAATTAAAAAGTTAAACGCTCAGAAGCGACGGCGCGCGTCTGCTTTCGGTTTTCGATTTTTACGCCGGGGGAAAACATGAAATCTCGAACGGGACGCGCTTCCTCGCTTCCGACCGTTTTAAATTCGAGTATCCGTCGTCGCACACCTCTGTTAACGAGAACGGCATCGGGGATAGCGGCGTTACCGAGATACGTGTGATTTTATGTCGATATCAGCCACAAACTTAGCGAATCTACCTATTTTGTGCCTCGTTTTCTCTACCGCTCGTGTATCTCGCGTCGCGAAGCGTCGCGAACGTTAAAGGTGGTGTAAAATTATGTAAATTAAAAAGTTAAACGTTCAGAAGCTATTTTATCGCTACAGGATTACGCTCTGTAACTTGACTCGTCGTTTCGAGGACTGTCGCGCGCACGCGTTTGCCCCGTCCTTGGACACTGTTGTATTCGGCGGGCATCTTTTCCGACGCGCACGCTCCGACACGAGTTGGTTCGTTCCCGGTTCGCCGATGAGTATCGCGCGTGGTGAGATGGCTGATGATCTTCCTTCGGCCATTTTGAGATATTGGCCGCCATTTCGTGCGCCAGGAGTAGCTGGCCAATGCCGTGGCGTCACGGAGGGGGCCAATCGCGCTTACGCCGTCTCTGACCGACGGTGCGGATGCGCCCTACGTGCGTGGACGCGCCTTTACTCGCTGTCTCCGCTCCGCTCCGTCTCGACTTTGTCGTCGCGGTGTCACACGGAGGGGCTTCCCCGACGTGCTCTCCGCGGTACCTCGTATGAGTGTTCCGTGCGCGGATTGTTGTTCGCCCCGGTGTAATTAACGGCGGTTCGTGTGTGTGTGTGTGTCCGCTGCATCCGCGGGCCTGCCGTGGGCCCGCGCCGTTGCCACCGGCTGACCCGGTGGACCTAACCTAGTTTTCCGGGTGCTCCGGTTGCGCCCGGTGGTGGTGGTGCTGTTTGCGCGAGTGTGTCTTACTCTCACCCCCCGCGCGGCCTTCGTGCTCCCTGGATGGACGACGCGACGTGCGCGTGGCTCGGTGCTCCGTGCTCCGCGCCGTCGGATCGGCGTAGCCGCTTCGTTCGCCGCTGCTGCTGCTGGGTGACGCTGGGCGATCCCGCTGCCGCTTCTTCGAAGCTCCTGGTGAGAGATTCCGTCGTCCTCCTCCTCCTCCTCTTCCTCCTCCTCCTCCGGGTGGTAGCGGGGCTCCCCTTGGTCCGCGGCGTCGGTAAGTGCAAGTGCACACAGGTTGGTATACGCTCCTCTCGGTGGCTCGTTATTTTTCACAGTCGCAGCAGTGTACGATTAACGCGACGTTCTCGCTACGCTACGTTAGCGCGTGGTAGTTGTCTCGCGTTCTAACGGAATCTTCTTCTCCCCCTTCTAGCGTGTAGACAGAAGCCATCCATCGGGGTGTTTCCTGGCGGGGTGGTTCCCGAATGCCGTTCCACGTTGGATCCTTCCGCGACGTGTACCGCGCGTTCCGCCGACGTCGGACGGTGCACCCGTGTCGAGTTAGGCACGCACCTTGGAGTACGCGTCGGGCCGCGCGCATAGGTGTAAAATTGTGTAAATTAAAAAGTTAAACGTTCAGAAGCGACAGAGCCCGTCCGCTTTCGGTTTACACTTTTTAGACCTTCGGGTCGAAACGTGAAATCTCGAACGGGACGCGCTTCCTCGCTTTCGACCGTTTTAAATCAATGTATTCGTCGTCGCGCACCTCTCTTTTAACGAGAACGGCAGCGGGGACAGCGGCGTTACCGAGACGCGTGTGATTTTGTGTCTACGTCAGCCGCTAAGTTAGCGAATCGACCCCAGTTTGTGCCTCGTTTTCGCTACCGCTCGGGTATCTCGCGTCGCCGAGCGT